ATGCGCGATGCTTCTACCGCACCGCCCGCCGCTCCATGGAACGCGCAATTTAGCTCGATGCCACACGGACCTCGCCAGTCGAACGCCAACATCCTGCCGAGCACACCATGGCAGGCAGAACAGACGCGAGAATGCAATGGAAAACGCGATGCACATGCGATAATTGCCTGCCAGCAGCGACAGCGAGATATCCAGAGCACAAATGCGGCTAGCGTGACTGGGGGCCGTGCGCCCTCCTCCTCTTGGGAGTGTCGGAATACAATGAGAAAACGTTAGCGACGATTCCCGCCCAATATGATCTGGGAAACCGACCACCCCAGCTGGGCCGGCGAAGCCCTTTCTTTGCCCTCGCGGCAACCTTCGTCACCACCCACTCTCCCTCAAACTCCCCCTCTGCATCTCTCCACGCTCTGCTTGCATCGACGCGCTTCATCAGCTCGACGATACCTCGACTTCCTGTGAAGCACGGCTCACCCAGCTTGCTGCTCACCCTAGCCACCGACACGCCAACGCGCTGACCGGCAGAGCCACTGTCTGTTCTCCTCACCGCTGCAGGCCAAACCATCACCACCCCCATCTCTGCTGCCCTCCACATCAGCCATCTCCGTCCATCATCGCCGCGTTCCTCTGCACGCGAACATGACCACGAAATCACCAAAGACCCTCGTCGTCGCACTCAAGCTGTCACCGGATTCTCTGCGAGACTTTCCACACGAGCCTGCAACGCCGCCCAAGGAAGAGGCCAAGCCCTCTCCACCAACACCCGCGCCGCAGATTAACGAGCCCTCACCTGCTGCCACGCCCGCCGACTCAACCCCCAACATGAACGGAAGCACACCGTCGTCGCTGGCGCCCCCCTCGTCGAAGAGGAAGGGCCCCAAGCCCGGCAGCAAGCGGAGTGCTGCGCAGATGGAAGCTGGCGCGAATGGCGCAGGCGCAACCCCCAAACCATCCAAGGCCAAGCCAGGGCCAAAGAGGAAGAAGATGGGTGACATGATCAACGACCCCAACTCCAAGGGGCCCTTCCCAGCACCCGCCGCCATCAACAAGGCAGGCCCCAAAGCAAACCTAGGAGCCATCAACGAGCGTCTGCGTGCCCTCGACAGGTCAGGGGCCAAGTGCCGTCGCTGGGAGAAGAAGGGATTCCAGGTCCGCAGCTTCACCGGCGTCATGTGGCAAGTGCCTACATACCAGCCAGGCCGCAAGGGCGCCTTCGCCGACGACGTCAAGAGCGACAGCACCGGCACCAGCGAGTCCAAACTGAAGGACGAGAGCAGCGCAATCAGCGACAAGAGCGGACTGAACGGCGACAGCACACCCGTTCCAACGCCCATGAACGGCATAGCAAGCTCTCCTGCTCCTATTCCCGCTTGAGGCATGAACCCTCTTGGTCATTTCCTTTGATGTACTCCTGCTGTAGCCTGCACCTCTTGCGGCTCGACCTTACTTTATTTCTTGCTACCTGTTTACTATATCGACTTGCTTCCTTTGTCTTGTTCGGCGTTGAGGGAGCGCATTGCATCACTACGTAAAAGGCGCCAACTGGGGCGTCACTGGCTTGCCACGGGCAGCATGGTGTACGGCGCACAAGTATGTTGTGAATGGACGTCACAAATACTGGATACGGATATGGAATCCGGATAGAGACGGAAAGGGGGCTTTGCATAGCATTATGGAGAGAAATTGAATATCCATGTCAAACTACAAGTACTTGTCCATGCATGCATCTTGAGAACCTCGGTAGCGGGTATTGCCAATATGCCATGCGAAAGGTTTTCAACGTGACAGTGTGTGTCTTCTCGCGCCTTGAGATTGTAGAGTGCCCACTTTTGAAGCTCATAGTATGATGATTGTCAAGGATGAGCGTGACCTGGATGGCGTTATCGTACCCGTGGATCGCGGGGATCTCCACCGATAGCTCGGCGCATCCAAACCTCCGCCCATGGACCTCATTGACGTACAACCTGCCCAGCACACCTTCGCTAGCTTTCCTGCAGCAAATCCTCCGCTGATGATACCATGAATGCATTTGTGACGATCGCCTCACAGGAGCCCGGGTGCCGTTGATTCTTGCCTTCGCCGTTGGCACCTTCCAGCACAGAGTACCGCATTCACTCGGCGCCAGAGACAGCTAGCCCACGCGTCACTGCGCTGTTGGACGTCTCCAAACCCCGTCAGCGACTGCGACCGCCCGCTCGACCATTACTACTCGCGTAGTCTGCGTGTCCGCCCTTTGCGATCGCTTCCAAACGTCCGCCCGAACACGCTGGTAGTTGGCAGCAGCGCCACTATCGATCACTATGAATCCTCGGAGGGACAGCTACGCCAGAGTAGCTGCTGCATCGGCAGGCAGCAATAGCTCATTCCAGCAACCCACCCGATCCGGCGCCTTTGCACATCTCGCCAACAGCGGCTCAACATCGCACCCGAACCGCCTCTCTCGCTCCATCGACGCCGACGGCCACATGTCTACGAGTTTCGGAAGGGCCGGTGGGCCACTACCCTCATACTCCAGCCAGTCTGGCTACTGGCATGGCTTGGGAGGATCGACACAGGATATACCGCCGTTCTTCGTGCCTTCCTACCTGCGCGGGTCCAAGCACGCCGAGAAGTTACAAGAGGCGCATAAGGCGAAGCTGGCAGCCCAGCGGGAATACAAGTCAACGCACTCGTCCAATACAGGCTCGCTGTCTACTAGTTCTAGCAGCGTCAACCTGCACAAGATGGCGCCGTCACATCGCGGTCTCACGCATGAGATAGTAGAGCGTGCGCCGGTCTTTGTGGATGAGCCGGTAGCGCCATGGCCGACACGCTGGAATGATGCAGACAGGTTCCCTCAGCTTGAGCTGGAGGATGGTCAGAGGCTGGCCAAGTTCTCGGGCTCACAGAAGACACACGATGAAGCTGCGTCGGTTCGCGCGGACTTTCCCATGCCGCGGCAGTGTGGGATCTACTACTACGAGGTTACGGTCGTTTCTAAGGGGAAAGACGGGTATGTTTGTTTGACATCTTGTAATGCACACGCTAATTCACCGGGCAGTAGAATGATCGGAGTAGGTTTCTCAGGTCCCAAAGTCGCCCTCAGTAGGATACCGGGCTGGGAGCCAGACTCGTATGCGTACCATGGCGACGATGGCCAGGTCTTTAGTAATACCACTTCCGGAAAATCATATGGGCCTAAGTTTGGCACACTGGATGTTATCGGCTGTGGCATCAACTTCCGGACAAATACTGCGTTCTTCACGAAGAATGGTCATATGCAAGGTGAGTACGCGAAGTGAGAGAAATGGATAGTACTAACGAGCCCAGGGACGGCTTTCCGAGATCTGAAACCCAACATGCCGTACTATCCTACTGTAGGCATGAAGAAGCCCGGCGAGATGGTCCGCGTCAACTTCGGCCAAGAACCCTTCGCTTTCGATATCGACAAGATGGTACAAGACGAGAAGGCCGCCATACAAGCTGAGATCGCCCGGACCAAAACAGAGGCGGATGCGTTGGGAGGCGAGGATGCGTTGATACATCAGCTGGTGGGACAGTATCTGGCGCACGACGGCTACGTAGAGACTACACGAGCTTTCTCGGATGAGATTGTCGAGGAAGCAAGAGCGCTTGCGAATAATGACGAGGAAGACGTTTCATACCGAACAGCAGTGGAAGACCTGGATGCGCTGAACCGGCAAAGTAAGCTCGTCCCTCAGAGTACGAACGCATGCTAACAGGAAGCAGAAATACGGACAGCTATCCTCGAGGGCGACATTGACAAGGCGCTTAAGCACACCACCGCATACTACCCCTCAGTGCTCCGCGACAACGAAAACATCTACTTCAAACTCCGCTGCCGAAAGTTCATCGAGATGATCCGACGATGCGGGGAGTTGAATGCACAATGCCAATCCGCACCAGCACCATCATCCAAACGATCCACCGCTTCAAATCCCAACAAGCGCAACTCAACCGCAACAGAAGAATACGACTTCGAAATGGAACTCGACGAGCAACTAGGCGTACACAACCCACCACCCAGCTGGGACAACAAAGACCAAGACGACTACTTGGAAGTCGGAGACGAGGACGACATGGAAGACAAGGTAGCAAAGAGCGAACGAGCGACAAGCGAAACTATAACATATGGCATGGAGCTGAAATCCGAGTTCGCCAACGACCCAAGACGGGAGGTCAAGCGGGCCCTCGAAGATACGTTTGCGCTTATAGCATATGCGGATGCACGGGAGAGTTCACTGGCGCCTTTGCTGGAGATTTCGGGTCGTGCGCCTGTTGCTGAGGAACTTAATAGCGCTATCTTAGGTACGTACAAGATGGAAGATGTAGAAGAAGACCTCAAACTAACAACACCACCCACGCAGTCTCCCTCGGCAAATCCTCCTCCGCAGCCCTAGAACGCCTAATCCAACAAACCGAAGCCCTCGTCACCGAACTCGCCGACGACGGCGGGCCCGGCGCTTTCATCAACGTCCAACGCGATTTCCTACAGTAGTATTCCTAGGAGGTGGGCCAGCCATGTATTCTTGCTCTCAACATGGCTCGGGAAGATATTCGTGCGTGCAGGGAGAGGTATGGCGTTGTCTATGCGAGTGGGCAGTGGGCGCGCAGATGTATGTATTGGGGTATGGGCAGGGGTGCTTGGACAGGGTTGGGGTTATGCTTCAAGCGGGGGTGGGTAGGTGGTGTGAAGAGGCGTAGGAATAGGGATGGGAAAGATGAGGAGATGAGGAAAGTCAGACGCAGGACGGGACTGTTGCGTTTCTCGGATGGGGGGCTGTGATATCATTATCTTTTTTTTTTGGTTCAGAGGATCAGTAGCATTTGCATGGCTTGGGTTTGAGGCGTTGTTTTGGCCGGCTTGGACTGGATGACATCAACATCACTACTCTCTTGCTTTGTTTTCTGTAGTCTACCAACAGGCATTTCAGGTCTGAAATGGAATTAGGAAGCCATCCATATCTCATCATATGAACCATGCCGTCACATCGTCTTTCTCACAACGGCCACCACCACCTCTTCTTCTTCTCCCCATCTCCATTCTCCCTCGCTGCCTCTCCACTCCCCTTCTTCGTCCCCTCCTCCCCGACCTTATCAAAAAACACAACCATAATAGTAGTATCATCCACCGCATTCCTACTCAACGGCTCCGGCCCCGCCAACACAGGGTGGGTGGGGGAGGCGGAGGGGAGGCGGAGGGGTGGTGGTGGCTTCTTATCATTCATGAGTACATCGATCTTGTTGATATCTAGACTCCCCCCTCTCTCCTCTCCTACATAGTCACCTCATCTCATCGTTCACAACGGCCACCACCACCTCTTCTTCTGTTCACCCTCCACTGGCTTCTGACCACCGTTCTTTGCCCTAGCACCATCCTCACCCAGTTTATCAAAGAAAACAACCATAATAGTAGTATCATCCACCGCATTCCTACTCAACGGCTCCGGCCCCGCCAACACGCCCAAAAACAACCCCCTCCTACTCCCACCCATCGCATTCCTCGCCAGACAAACCGCCGCATTCTCATCTTCAATCGCAAAAAACTGCGGCTCCGCTTTCCAATCTACGTCTTCGCCTGCCGCGGGGTCGCACGTCACACCCGGGTCCAAGCTAGAGAAGTTTTGGGGGAAAACGGGAGGGTTGCGCAGCAGTTCCGGGTCTTGCTTCACGGAACCCTGGCCACGGGCGCGCGCGGAGAGATAGCGGGACACGCACTCGACGGCATGTTCAGAAGAAATCCGATCCCATAAGCCGTCGGAAGCGAGGATGAGGAAATCGCTTTTCCCCCCTTCTGCCCTACCATCACCACACAGCATCCCATCCCGCGGCTCCCTCCTCACAACTGCCGTTTCCGTTATCTCGGGCTCCGCCGTCATATACGGGGGACTCAGATTCCCCGGTCTGGGCGCCGTACCCCAGAATTTGTGCTGGCACGCTTTGATAGTCTCGTTATCCCATTTCCAGCGGTGGTCGCCGAAGCCGCGGGTTACGGCTATGCCTAGCATGCGGCCTGTTTTGGGGTCGATGACGGAGGGTTCGTCGGGGTGTTCCTTGCTTAGTCTTTCTACTTCCTTGGCGTTGAAGCCGGTTTGGTCTTCCGAGAGGGGGATTGCCGTGTAGGAGGATGTGGAGGGGTCCCAGCGGCCGAGGACGGCGCGCGAGTCTCCTGTGCAGGCGACGCGTAACTTGGAGGTCTGGGGATCGAATGCAGCGAGTAGCGCGCAGGACCCAGAGAAAGCGGGTGTGAGCGCGGCGATGGCGGCGGCGTTGGCGGCTGGGAACCAGGCTGCGGCTGTTTTGGCGCGGGACATGATACTTTTGTCCGTGGCGAGGAAGGCGGTTTTTATACTGCTTTCGATTTGGTGGCTCGAGGCGTGCGGTGTTAGGGTGCTGAGTGCGGAGGAGACCATGGGGATGAGTGTCCATTGGAGGTAGAATGCCGTGTGTCGTCCTGCATGGCCATCTAGTACAGTCCAGTAATTCCACAGGTTCTGCCCGGGACCAGGCGATGTCCCCAGGGCGAAGAAATCTTCACATGGCTCGTTGCTGCGGAACCGACATCCGTGTGTTATGGGCATTTGCACGTCTGGCATGCCTTCGACACCCTTCTTCGAATCATCGGGCGTCATCATCCATCCGTAACATAGCTTGTCGAATTGCTCCGAGAAGAACTTCGCTACGGCGGGGTCTTTCATCGGGGCGCTGGGATCTGGGATGTGGAAGTCGAGGATGTGTTGGACTTCTTCTTTCGAGGAGTAAAAGTGGAGGGGTTGGGCGAGTTGGGAGGCATCGTCGCCGGTTTCGAAGGCGCCGTAGACGCTGTCTGTCCAGTCGGTTTCTACTATGTCGACGAAGTAGTATGCTAGGCCGCCTAGGGTGAGGAGTACGAGGACGGTTTTGGTTGGGAAGCGCGATTCTAGGAGTGTGGTTGTGGGGTCCTTGGCTGGTTGGTTCCATCGCGGGTTGAAGAGGGTAGTGTCTCTTCCATTGGTTCTTGAACTCTTGTGCTGGGTTTGTAGGAGTCTTGTCTGCGAGAGAGCACGTGATAACGGACTTGAATGAACGCGTGCTGTGTGTGGCCGTAAAGCACGGGTCGTCACCGCGAGTGGCCTCTGTAACCGCGTTTGAGGCTGTGCTTTACCGGCGCATTTGAGCCGTACGGCGCTTCCCAACCTTCTTGGAATCATTTTACCTACAGTGTTCCCTGTATCGCAAGATGGGTGAGATGTGTTCTGCTTCTTTCGCGTTGTGGAGCTTAGATTTGATGGTCTGTGCACACGCTAGTTTGATCGCCCTTTCACGTGGAGCAGTAGGGCAGGTGCTTGGCACGAGAACAATGAGTCCAGAAAAACATGCACTGGCTTATGGTGGCAAGGTCTTTGTGGGATACAAGCTGTTTGTTGCTCTCAGCTTGATCATCATAGATGATTCTAGTCAGAACTCGTCGCTCCATGGTCATCGGTAGTGGGTTTTACGACTTTAGTGATGAAAAGATAGTTGCTAATAATAGGCTATGGTAAGGATTGGGTATCGTCGTTACTTGCTTGTGCAACTCATGAAAGCCATAAGGATCCAAAACGCCTCCCAAAACCAAAGGGAAACATCAAGTACGCCACGTATACGCCGACAAGAGTGATGTTGGTGGCCAGCAGCTCATTAATCTGACCGGACGAGTATAAGCAACAGCCTTGATGTGTAGTTCTGATACAGTTCCATCTTCCTTCGGACACCGATGCCTTGTATTAATTCCCGGATGCTTTCGTACGATACACCGACCAGGAATCGCAGCGTCCAGCCTCCTCCCCATCTCCATGTGTAGCAATAGACGTCGGACTTTGAGATGTTCGGAACATTTGGTGTGAGGTGGAGGTCACATCTCTGTCCAGTGTACATCCTCTATGCGGTCTACCTCTTCGTACTCTCGCTTCTTCTTCTCCTTTTTCTTTGCGTTCGTGTTCTTACGCCGGAGCATCAACTTCATCTTGTTTGCCAGTTTTCCAAAGGCGGCCGCTGTGGGAGTGCTGGCTGTCGGCTGAGGTGATGTAACATCATCCTGTGGGATATCTTCGCTCTTCGGGGGGAAATCTTGTTGTGATAGGCTTGCTAGCTTGATCGCGTGCGGGCGATTGACGTAGCTCGCCTGCTTAGTAGGGTGCGATGCAAGCGATGTCTGTGATGAGATCTCCTTGGCAGAGGAGACCGGTTCTTTGGACTGAGGTCTGACGGTGCTGGCTTTGGGCTTTGGTGGGGCCTTCACAGGCAGTGGTTGTAGCATGCGCCATACTGGCTCAGTAGGGCTGGAAGGTTCAGAAGACGAGGACATGGGACGGACTAGGACCACCGATGAGTCGTCCCACTGGTGGTCCATCCTTGGTGAGTAGGCTGGCGTCGACGGCTCCGAGTCGATGAAGGTGCCGAAAGACTTTGCTGACATAGGTGGGGGAGACATTGGTCCCAGGGATTGTGGTGTCATGGGAGTGTGTACAAGAGCTGGAGGAGGATAGCTCTTTGTGGACTTTGCGGAAAAACGATGTGGTCGTTCGGGTGACATTGTACGCGGCTGCTTTGGCAGGCCGTGAGTGGAGAGCGGTCTGTGGATGCTGGCACCCAATGAACCCGAGCCCAGGCTAGGCGACGGCACCGACAGTGTAGCCATGTCTATGGGTGTGACAGTGCCAAGTTAGGGACAAGCTTTTCAATGAAGGTAGTAATCTTAAACCGCGGAGGCGTTGTGTGATAGTGCGAACGAGACGCACGATACGAAAAGAAGCGCGGGAAAGGCGGCGGCGAAGGATGTAAAAGAAGGCGGCACCCGTAGACACGTAAGTACCGAAAGGAGAGTATTGCGGCGTAGCAACGAGACCGGTCAACTGGGTAAATCAGACGGCAGAGGAGACCAAAGCTGCGCCCCCAAACGAAACAGAACGATAACAGAGGGCTGAAAGCGGTACAACCTATGATCTGCAGGCTACACTTTTGTTATATGAATGCACCACACACGCGTCATCCGCGCCGCGACGGTGCGTACCACACCGTTTACAGCTGACAGATCTATCTGCGCATTCCTGCTACTGAGGTGGCAATGTGGGACTACGCCCGTTGGTCTTAACGCGTGTCAAGACTCGAGAGCCGCCTGTCCTGACCCCGCCGTCGCGACATGGCACGGAAAGCTCCTAAAGGATGAAGGACGTTGGATATGCGGCTAAGTAGGGAATGATTGGCGACCCAACTCGCGGGGGCGCTAAAGTTAGCGCTTCATTGGCTGACGGCGGACAACTTGCATCAACCACGCCGCAATTCATATAGAGCAGCGCCTGCAGGATAGGAAGTGCCAACAACGGGGACCCGGGGGGTGGACCAACATCGGGTGCTGTCCTGAACGGCTGGGATCTGCTGTCGTGGTTCGGTCTCGACGCAAGGCGGCTCACAGCCCCCATTCGCTCAACTTTGTTGCATGGTCTAGCGAATCAGCGCGACGAAGCACCTTTTCAGCCTGCGAGCCCCTTCACCTAAGCATGACCGCTGCCCGTTTCGAGGTGTAGGTAAGTTCCTCGGACCTGATGTCAGACCACAAGAAGAAGGCGTTCTTGTGTATGGTTCGCTGCCCTGAAGCTCCTCCAGTTCTCGTTCCCGAGGCGCTCAGCCTAGAGCTAGGATCATGAGTTCGCTGATCAGAGTTGGCCCCCAATGCCTGAGTGGTCAAAGGTCACGCCAAACCTGTCCACCATGACGACCTAGAACTTAGGGCAGTGTCCGGCGCGTCTGGTGAAGGACGACTGCGCCGCAATATCGAGGATGTTGAAAAGTGGGTATAGCCCATCTTGCTCGCGGCAGAAACCGTTGTGCAGTGTTGTGTAACACCCATAAGCGCCGTGCGAGGTTGATCCATGCAGGCTACTGGTGGGAGTGTACGAATGCCATACCAGTTGTAGACACAGTCGTGCGTCAAAGAGCCTTTTTAGATTAACCCGATGCGCGTCCGTGAGGGGTTATGGTAAGCGATGAGATTGTTGCAGATTGCTCTTGAGCCGTTCGGGTAGTTGATAGGAAATGTTGCGTGTCGCAGTCATCGCAGCCGCGGGACAGAAGCTCGGGCCGTCAGCACGGTCAGGATCGCCGAGACGAGGTCCAAGAAGAAACCGCATGCAGGTGAAGCTTGACTGTCAACGGCTATTGACCGAGATAAGTCGATCCTACGTGTTGTTGCATCGGCCCTTTGAGCGGGGAGCAGGAACTTGGAAGACGCCCGCGGGCGGGTCGCCAAGGAACTTTCTGCGTCGGGACCACCCTCAACAGCCGCCATCAGACCCTCCCTCCCTTCCAGCTTGCACATATGTCTCCATTGAACCTCACCTGACCATGCAACACGACTTGTTTGTCTGCGCATGACTTGCCCTCTGGATGCAGCCAACACTGGGTGTGGGACGTCTACAGTGTTGGATTTGCACCTGATCCCCAGACATACTGCCGTGAATTGGACCGTCCATCGCTATTGATTCTCTCTCACTAGTGAGAATCCCATGGAGGCTCGGAGCTTGCATCGAATGAGATGCGCTTTCTTTTCATTCCCTGGAATGAGACTGTGTGGGCATAGGTGAGGTGAGTAAGAGGAAGTCTAGGAAGTCTCATGAGCGAGGTTCCGTTTCGCATGCTGCCTCCTTCCATCTTTGTGCCAAGCCAACTATACTTTCTTTCACAAGATGAGTGGCTTTTCAGTCCAATTCGCCCCAGTCTTGTTGTCTCATGGGTGCCACCCCCATGCCAGCATGAGTCCATTGACAATCATTATTCCCTGAAGTCGATGTGAAAATCAATCTCACGCTCTGTGATCAATCATACAGCTGGGCTGTGTCACTTCTTGGGATCCTAACACTAATCATCTTGGATTTATAGTGTTTAGCATTGTTTGAACTCATGGCGAATTCGGATCATTGACAGCGAGTCCTCCAACATCGCAGGTCCGCTGAACATGCTTTACGACTGGACTCAGACTTCATGCAGCAAGTTGCCAGACTGCGCTTGTCCTCATGTACGAAGGTGACAACATCCCGCTCGAGCAGTAAGTCTCTCCAAAAGATGGCGGAGTTTGTCGAAAGATGCTCAGCTGACACTGAATGTACAGGCCGGCAAGAGACTTCTCGAACTGCACACTGAATCACGAAATGTTGCCGCGCGCCCCAATCTGATGGTCTTAACCATACTTTACAAGATATACAAGAGTGCAGCTGGTCTCCTTGAAGGAGATGAAGGCGAGATCATGGAAGAAGAGCCAACCTGCATCCACAGAAACCTACACTTCACCGGCGTCCCAGATAACGAGATGGCGCTACAGATCCAGAAAGGCACAGGACCGACACCTCTACCTTATCATGGAGTGCTCTTTTTCGCGTCGATTCATGTTCATCTCAAGTAGATTCAGTTCTTCTTGATTCTTGGAAGAAGCTGTACGCGTGGTAGACCCTGACATCTTCTCCCCCTCTTGCAATCCACCTCCACTGTCCGCTAATGGCCGCGCAATCGCTCAATTGGGACGTCACCCAGCAATAACGACTCCTCTTCACGCTCACATTCACCTTCACTTTTGACGTCAGTGCGCAAGCTACCTTTTGGTCACTATCGCAGTTTGACAAACGCCGTCACGTCGTCTACGTACCCAACACGTCTTTATCCGCATCTCTTTCTCAGCAACATCTCCATTCCCTTCCCTTCCCTTTGAACGCACACGCTTCCGCCGCGCCGAACTCAAAACATGGATTTCCCGCACGCGCAGATGCAAGCGACGCTGGCAGCGACCAACTTCTCGCCAAAATCAGTACCGTCGCTATACCCTCAGCTTGCCAAGTCACAGAAGAATTTGCATCGCAAAGACAGCTTCGTTCCGAAACCTCCCAAAGTGCAGGAGACCACTAGCGATAATGGCGACGACCAAAGACAGCGCCAGGCTTATCGCAAGAGCAGCATCAAAAACTTTGGCAGTCTCTTCGCGCGCAACCGCAGCAGTATCGCTAGTACTAGCCCATTGACGCAGGTCATGAGCTCCGAGTCCGAGGGCAGAGACACAAGCGTTGAGACCGAGCGCGCAAGTCAGCAGACCACACTCGTCAGCTCGGACATTCCGTCCCCTAGTAATATCATGACTGTTACCGAGAGAGAAAAGATCCGCGAACGTCGTATGTACCCTCGACCTCCTCTCCAACCCCCAAACTAACAAGTCCATAGACCGAAAGTTTGTCAAGCTCCAAGGCCTCGGACACGACCACCCCACCGTCTTCACCGCCGACCCAGGTGACTACTCTCAATATGACTACGACGATAGCGTCGATAATCGGCGGTTCAGAGACGAGTGTGGAGAATGCGAAGGCACACACGTCGCCCACGACCTTGCGAGTCCTACACCAAGCAGCCGCCACCGTCGCAACGAGTCCCTGCACGTCAACCTCAGTCCAGAAGAAGTGAAGAAGTACGCCGACGAAGTCCGCAACATGACCATCGCAGACGTCCACCTCTCTCTCTTCGGCTACTGGATCAAAGAGAGCGACAAGCACTTTCAAGAGGCTAAGAAATATCTGAGAGAGTTGGGTCTTGATCGCGTGAGTCTCAAACACCTGTTATGCATCTGAATATGAGGAGCTAATGTGAATACTGAATAGGGCTACAACCTCTCCCGCCTCAACAACTTCTGCCTCGAAGAACTCTGCCGCGACGTCCACGACATCCGCCCCTCGTACGCTAAGCCCACTTCACAAATCCTCCTCCATAGATGCGCACGCATTGCGAACTTGCGCTGTCCGGGTACTGCTTGGTGTCACGCAATGTTCTAGATGCCTCTGCCATGTCCTTCCCTCGCTCGTCTCCCACCTCACCACCACCTACCTTCTCGCCCATGTCTACTACTACTAGCAGCGTTTCATAACCATCCAGAATACCACCCATATTCTCGATACACATGTCATAGCTGCAGTCACACATTACACAAACTAACATCTGCTTCTTGCGTCTAGTGAAACGCGTACCACGATCCTCAAGCGACAAGCTGCCGCCGACACGCTCACGCATGGGGGCACTACGACGCCTACACGTTCTTTCTCGTCGCCAGTTAGTCCGCGGATCGACAAGTTGCCGCCTTCACTTCACCTTCAGCGAGAAAAAGTGATAGAATCACAAGCGTTGAGGTCGACATCCCTCGGTTCACCTGGTGGACGAGGCGATTACCCACCTAACAGTATGCTACAACCCCGTCAACCCCTCATAAACTTCATGTTGACTAACAACGTCAGCGCCCGACCGCCCTATGCCACTCGCGTTCCGCTCCCCGAGTTCACCCGTAGGTTTCTTGCCGTCGCCCTCGCACTCCTCTGTCTTCTCCTCGCCTGGTCCGCCGCCGGTAGGGGCTTCAGATGAGTTGTCTCTGCGACCGTCCTCGGTGACGTCGTATGATTCGTTCTACGATGAGACGACAGACTGGAATATCAGCGTTGCGGGCATCTATCAGCAGGTGGTTGAATTGGAGCATGTCGGTCAGATTGATAGGATTATTTCTGATCTGCAGAACATGAAGGCTTTGTACTCTGAGGAGACCTGAAAGCGAGTATGGGGTCAAGGCATGAGGGAGTGATGGGTATCTCGGTGTATTGTCAGGATAGGTTTGGATTGTGGAAATGATCTAAATACCTCCTGTTTACTGCATCACTCAAGAAAGCAATCGCTTCAACAGTCTCGCGTACAGCCCATTCTCATGAGTATAAGGGAATGTTCCAAGCTCTACAGAACTCCGATGTGTATGTCAGTAGTAGTATGTATATGCAAAGAAGCGGTAGGTAGGGGTAAAAAAGCGAACACCTGCATGTCTTCCGACGCACCGACCACGCTCAACACTCATTACCGAGTGGATGCAACAACGCAGTCAGACGTCTACTCCGAGCCAGCAGCAATGACGACTAAACCTCAATAAGCATATCAGCGTACCAAATCTCCCTACATGTACACACGCAGGGTAGCTAGAGGCGCAAAAACTTACAACATCATATAATGAGACACCAGAAACAGCGAAGCAACGTCCAAAAGGCTTCGACGTTTACGATTTCCGAAACAGGATAGATGCCGAGGGTACCGAGTAGTTCGGTACCTACATGGGCAGTACAATACCTACTGCACTTTCTCAGTGGCTCGAAATGCCTGCTGTCAATCGTCCAACAAGGTACTTGGCATGCAGACGTTAAATGCCCGACGTCAGAGCCGCAACTACACTGCGAACTTGAGGACATCAATCGCAGTTCCGGATTAAGATAGCTAGAGACGACGCTGTCCGAGTCTCTGAAGTCTATAGTATCTCTCATCATTTCAAACCCACCTCCCTTCTCTCTCCGCCCATCATGGCGACACAAGCATTCGACCCCTCGCACGTCGACCTCACGACAGCCGATAAAGCCGAAGTAATCTGCTACTTCACCGTCGGCGAAAACGAATACAACGGCATGCTCGGCGCGCGCATCTCGTCCATCTTCGTCATCGGCTTCGTCTCCACACTCGTAACCTACTTCCCCGTCATCGCGCGCAAGAAACCATCTTGGAAAATTCCACTCGGGCTCTACACCTTTGCGCGCTTCTTCGGTTCGGGGGTCATAGTCGCAACAGCATTTATCCACCTGCTAGATCCGGCGTACGAAGCAATTGGGCCAGGGAGTTGTGTGGGAGAAAGCGGAGCATGGGCGGAGTATCCATGGTGTGCAGCCATAGTGCTGACGTCCATCATGGCGGTATTCTGCGTAGATCTAGGAGCAGAAGTATATGTCGAACGGCATTTTGGAGTGAAGAAAGAAGAAAGCGAGGTTTCCAACAACGCGTTTCTTCGCTCTGACAACAACACCACCATCGGAGTCGCACCAGTAGCCACGGTAGACCCAGAATCCCAAGACCGCCAAAACGGGGATCAAGACCACCACCAGAAACACACAGCAAGCCTTCGCAGCTACCACTCTGAAGCCTCGCTCTGCACCACCTCAACAGCAGCCCGCCTCTCCTTCGCCCAACAAATCGGCGCGTTTCTCGTCCTCGAATTCGGAATCATATTCCACTCCGTCATCATCGGCCTGAACCTCGGCGTCGTCGGCGACGAGTTCAAAACTCTCTACCCGGTTCTAGTATTCCATCAGTCCTTCGAAGGGTTGGGCATCGGGGCCCGCTTATCTAGTATCTCATTTCCGCGCGGCAAGACCTGGATGCCGTGGGCGCTTTGCGCTTTATATGGGCTCACGACGCCGCTGGCTATTGCCGTGGGGCTGGGCGTGAGGACGACGTATCTGCCGGAGAGTAAGGTCAGTTTGATGGTGCAGGGCGTGTTGAATGCGGTTAGTGCGGGGTTTCTGATATACAGTGGGTTGGTGGAGCTGTTGGCTAAGGACTTTTTGTTTGATAGGGAGAGGACGAAGGATCTGGGCAGGCTGGGGTTGATGGTTGGGTATGTGTTTCTTGGGGCGGCGGTTATGGCGCTGATTGGGTGGTGGGCTTGATGGAGGGGGGTGGTGTAAAATGTAGATTCATGGAACGGATGCATGAGGGTACATCGGCTAATGCAATATTCATCGTAGCTACTTGTCGCAACCGCCCAGCAGAATACATTATAACTATTTTGAACGAACAGAGGTACATGTGCTCTATCGAATCAATAAATTCCTCGACTTCAGGTCCATTCCCTTCTCTCTCTCTTGACAAACAGTAAGTTTCGTTACCACTGGCGCCTGCTGTGTAGTAGGACTTCGAGTGAACATACTCAGATCCGGTCTTTGCTCCTCGCTTGGTGGAGGAGGCCGTGGAGGTCTTCTAGCAGATCGCGCGGGTATCGGTGTATCTGGCAGCAGTATATCTTCGTTCAGTGAGTGCCTGGATCCTGCCGGGGAATTGGGTGTTGACATGCTCGCTTGTATAGCAAGCAGAGGTTCTCGTATGATCGGTTGTGGGAACGACTTGTATGATTCGTAGGGCGTGCCACCGATGGTGATGCTACCAGACCAGTTTTTCGAGTGTCTTGATTTGGGTTTGGGGGCCGGCGATTGGGATGCTTGGAAGTGAGAGTACGGCTTGAGGCAGAGACTGCAAACGATGAGGACGGCTAGTGTCGTCTGGCCTTGTGTGACCACGGCGTACGGTAAAGAGTCGAAAGCGGGGTCTCCATCGCGATCGTATGCTTGCCGAAGGTAAATGAGGCGAATAATGGATGCTGCAACTAAGCTACACGGAATGTCAGCAAGACTGCAGCTATGTATTAGGTACTTTGCTTACATGAAGCGCATGGACAGCAGTAATGTCGCCAAGGTCTTTTGGCGGTAGGATTCGCGCAGTGTCCATATGTGATGTACCGAGAGCGCAATCACAGCTGTTTCTAGAACAGTATCTGTGATAGTGGCGATCATCCAGAAAGGTATCTGTACTATACTTAGAACGAGTTCAGTCACAGTATGACAACCGGACTTACCAAGGGGATACACTTCCCCGTCCACACAAGCCACGGCGTCGGTAGCTCACACTGGAAAACCATGCCTGCCAAAACTGCAATGGTCCATATCAAGACCAGTGTACTAACAGCTAGGACGCTTGCCCTGCGTAGTGTGCTATCTGCTAGATGATAGAGGAACAGTAGGACCGAGCTTTTAGCGATGCTTATTGTCAAAACGAAGAGTATCGTCGTAACATAAAGCTTGAGTTGGATCTGCTCCAAGTCATCATCGCTGAGGAGACAGTCCCTCTTCCCCAGGCCCGATTCAACAGCCGTAGATATTATCACGGTGCTTCCAAGGGCAAAGACCGATGCGGTAACGATAATGACATCATCAGTCGACGAGAGATGGCGAAGGTGTTCAGATCTGTATCGAGCGACGACTCGTGCTACAGTGCATATAGCCTATGACAATGATCAGCGTTGAGAAGGATACCCAGATGAGATTCATACCAATAGGCAAGCAAGAAACCAAGCTACCATTACCAGAATAGTACCATGATTCTGAGCTGAAATGAGCGCATTCTCATGCTGGGCTTGTTCGCACATCGTGTCTTGCGCGGTTCGGAGATTGCATTGAAATGAGCCTTGATGAATCTTTATCGAAATAGCATGTTGGCGGCTACAAGGGGATGAATAGGGCCAGATGTTCTCGAACTTCGGACAAGCTGCATACGCTGTTCGTAATGCTCCCTTAAAGTCCGAGTCACCAGGACTACGCGTCTTGCATTTCATGCGAATGATTGCCTTTTGTCGCGGCAGAGACGATGAGGGGTTCGTATAGTTTCGTCTAGAGAACCACAAATAGAAGCGGAAGGGATATGAGTCGCGATCCGTAGCGAATCGTAGAACAACATGACGGCAGTGGGCGGTATTCGATGCTGATCGGTCGCACGCGTGCCTGCATCTAGGCTAGACGGCCGTCGTGGAGCTGAGCCCAGGTCCGTAGTGTTGGGATGAAGGATGGCGCCACAGTGATACGGGGATGTTGTACATGCCGGAGCGCTGCCAACCCGCAGATGGTGGCAGCTGAGGTTAAATGATAGCGTTTCAGGACAGGTTTGGGGTTGTAAAAAAGCAATACTCTCTCGTATACCTTGACTTGCCTGTGGCAATCGCTTCTATGAC